AAAACGAGAGAAAAAAAAGAGAGAGAGGCGCAGCTTTTTTAAAAGAGAGAGAGATAGCAGAACTACTAAATGTTGTTTGTTTTACATCATCATTTATTATTATTCAGCTGTTTGTTTTCCCAAAAAAAAATGTCAGATGTTCAGTGCTGTAACAGTTGTTTATATCATGAGAGAGAAGAGAAAGAGAGAGGCACGCGGGAAAAATTTTTGGGTGAGGTGATAATTTTGAAATACAGAGTTGAATAACATTTAATATTATTTTTTTATTTTTATATTTAATAATTATTCGAGCCGGCTCCCCCCCCCCCCCACACCCGGGCGTCAGATGTAAACCCACACACCAGAAGCTCGAACTCGAGCTCGTTTACCAAACGAGCTCGAACTCGAGCTCGAGCTCGACTCGTGAGCTCGATAAGCTCGGCTCGCAAGCCCATAAACGAGTCGAGCCCAAGCCGGCTCGCGAGCCGGCTCGGCTCACTTGCACCCCTAGGCGGGATTGAGAAGAGGGAATTTTATTTCCAAAATCTGATTTAAGGTTTTAGGAAATAAAATTAAGGCTTAGGACTTTGGGGAAAATTCGGTTAAGAGGAGATTTGGGGAATTTGAAATATTTCCAAAAGAGATACTTAGCTTAAGGAAATAAATCTAAATCCAAGCCAATGAAGGGGCCGGCGGCATTAATGGGCAAGAGGGAATTTGGGGATGAGGTGTCATGCTTGCATAAATGTAAATTTATAATTAGGAAAGTAATTAACCAAATTCAATTGAATTTGAAATTCAAAAGAATTGATTTAAGAACTTTCCAAACATAAAATGACAAATTAGGAAAGATTTCAAATTCAAATTAGTTGGATTTGAATTTTGAAAATCTGTCCAAAATTAAATCACCCAAATTTGGCAAGGATTTCAATAGGGAGAAGGAGGTGGATGGTGGCCGGCGGCTAGAGATTGGGCCAGGGGTATGAGGGGTCGGGTGGAGTGTTGGCCGTGGGTTGAGGGAGGAGGAGGGGTCGAGTGAGGTGACCGGCGGCTTATGGTGGAGAATGTGGGAGGGGAAGTTTGATTGGGGGGTGACGATTGCTTGGAGATGGAGGAGGGTTTTGGATATAAAGATGTCCGGTGGTGGTGGTGGAAGGAGGAAAAACAAAGACAAAGATAAAGAAAGACCACAAACCCGGCCGTCTCCAAGGTTGGTGGGTAGTGCGCAAGCTTCCCTCTCCTAGGGATCTCTCTCCATCAAACAATCAAGCTCTCACAAGAGCTCATGCAGGAAGACAAATGCAGGAAAATTTTCTTAATCATTCATTAACTACAAAATAACAAGATCAAGGCTATAAATAGCCTCATACAATGACTTAAAGCAAAATGGACTCAAATACCCTTAATGGGCTACAAGACTCAATCCCTCAAGCAAGGGTAAAAACGAAAAATGCTGAAATAAAAAGATTACATCAATAAGTAGACAATAATAAAATCAAAAGTACATCGGGTAAATCGTGGCCGTTGATTTACGGCCACGTCGACTGTAGACTTTCCAACTGATGTCCCCATCAATGTCACTCTAATGTTTTTCAAACAATCAACATCAAGAAATATTTTCACAATACATCTAGAAAAGATCAATTAGGATTTCACAAATTAAAAATATTTATAACCAATAATATCACATATAAATTTAAATGACAATTTGATTCTTAACAGGACACAATGGAGAAAAAGGATTCATGTAGTCAACCCCACGTAGTGGGATAAAGACTTGATATTATTGTAATAATAATAACATATAAATAAAGTTTCCTTTAATAAAAATTGAGGATTGCAACACAAAACTGAGCTTCAATAAAATTTTTAAAAATCTTAAAACTAAGCAAAAAAAAAAAAAAAAAAAAAAAAAAAAAAAATACAAAGGATGTAGATGAAAGAACTCGCAAACATACAAGATCAAATACTTAAAACTGAAAATAATTTGTAGAAAATGCATAGATGAAAGAGTTCATCCTTGATTAATGGCAATAGGTGGAAGAAGTTTAACAAATAAGTCAAATAACAAGGGAGAAAATTCTCAAAGTCATCTATGCCATGGACCTATTTATATCATTTCGCCGTCAATCAAGCCTTGTAATATTCAATAGATCCAACAAGATGGAACTTAACAGTGAAAATCCAAATATATAAAATGACTTTAACCCGAAATGGAGTTGTAACCAAATCCCAAGTATGACTATTAATAAGAGTAACCATTTTAGAGTCTATTGTGTGCATCAAGTTAAGTTGTCAGAGTAGAGCTTCCTAATATGTCCTAGGAATTGAGACAATGGAATTGAGCCTCTTAAATCTTCAGGGAATTGAGACAATGGAGCAAATTGATGAAAGGAATAGGATAAATGATAAAAAGACAAAAAAAGCAACTAATGGTCAATATATTGGTGTTTACCTTTTTGCAGTTCAAAAGAAAGATGTAAATATAATAGTTCAGCTTTAGGCAAATACTCATTTATAGAATAAAGATGGAGGGGTGTTTAAACAAAGGACAAAAATGGCCTTATAGCTCTATAAGTATAAACCCTTAAAGAAAGAAGAGCACATATAGTAACTATAGGCAGTAGAATAGCTAACAGAGCACTACTGCTAGGAGATGAAGTAGGAGAGAAGGTAAGGAGATGCCTTATGAAAGGTACTATCAACATAGACTTATAATCAACGTGCAGAACGTTCATAACATTGATAACCTTTATGAGCATAAGAATAGCCTAGAAAGATGCACTGAATGGCGTGAAGTAAAAGTTCATAACTTGGGCGAAGAGAAAGAACAAAAAAATTATTTCAAAAAACTTTAAGAATAAGATGAAAAGGAATTTTGTTAGGATAAAGAATTGAAATGGAGCAACACATCGCAAAACAATAAAGAACACATGATTAATTAAATAGCAAGTTGTTAGAATATCATCTCCACAAAAATATCAAGAGACGTGCATGTAAAACATTAAAGTCTAAGCAATATTAAGAAGATGTCAATGCTTATGCTCAACCAATCCATTTTACTAAAATGAATATAGACATTGTGATTTAAGGACAATACTAAAAGCATTATCAGTACAAATGACTTTAAATTGAATAAAAAAGTATATTCTTATGCTATTTCTTCATAGACGTTAATATAAAGAAACTTTTGATGGACACTTTAATAGGTAAACCTAAGAACATTGATATCATCATCAATGAGGAAAATAAATAATCAAATCCCAAAAGAAAAGACAAAAGATTTGTAATCAAGTTCAAACCACCATTAGTACTGTACAGACCATGATTTAAAAAGGCATTTGGGCGTACGCCTAGATTCGAGGAGCAGCTTGGACGCCTTGAGGCTTAAGCCTCACTGGATCGGGCGAGGCTTTTTTTTCATTGAAGTGTATGCCTCGATGCAGTTTGAGCCCTGACTCGTTTCAATTGTCATTTTTTTTTTATTCGGCCTAGACGCGCATATTAGATTTAGGGCCACCATGTTTTAGATTTAGGGCTGCTTAGACAGTCGATCAAAAAGTTCCTTCGCCTCTTCTGGCAACTCTCAACGAAAATAACAATCTCTTGCTTCATGTAAATTGCTTCGGCTTCGCCTGCTTCAACTTCGCTTCTTTGCATCTGGTCAAGTTCTTTCTAGCGAAGGTAACGATCTTTTTTCCCTTTCAACCCTATGTCGGCTTCGACTACTTCGTGAGAAATAAAGTTTTGAAAGTTTCATTCCAACCAAAGCTCGCAACGAATGTAACGACCTTTCAACCTTTCGAGTGTTGCTTTGGCTTTGCTTGCATTGTGTGAACTGTGAAGGTAAGGAGCTTTCTTCCCTTTCAACCTATTTTTCCTTCTTTGTGCAAAGTTGAGTTTTTATTTTCTTGAACTATCTGATCAAGAGTATAAATATTATTTCAAAATTTGATTTTAATTCCATTTATGCATTTCTCAATAGCACTTGCATGTGCCCAGCAATACTGAAACATAGCTTCTACATATTATATAAGTAGCAGAAAATTGGTACATAATTATACTTAGATAAATTGCTTTTCCTATTAATTAGATATCAGAAGTTATGTCATTATTTTTTCAAAACTGTGGAATAAAAAACTCTGAGAACTTTGAGAAAAATGGAAGGACTGCCTAAAAATCAAAAAAATTTGATGTTTCAAACTACATCAAAAGTACAATTCTTGAAATTGTTTATTCCATTTTTAAGATGCTAAATTAAACTATTATGTGTTTTAAACTTTCTTTAGCATGGAAAATTTTAGATCTATAGGCAAACAATGAGTATTTATTTTGAATCTTATGTTTCAATTATATTTACTTTCAAACAAGTCATTATATTCATAATTTACTAAATTTTTTTTTTTCATTTTTATGAGTTATTTATAATTTTCTAGTACTTTACTTTCCCATTTTGAGGCTTACGCCTCGCCTTAATTCGACAAAATACCACGAATCCTGATTTCGCCTTTTTAAACCTCGGTACAAACCACCCATCTAATTTGCCTCATACAAAACTGAATATCCTACAAGACAGATCTTCTAACCTCTCAAAGAAAGCACTCATGCAATTACTAGATATTCCAATTTGCGTTAATATAGTAAAAGGCATTCAGCGACAATAAAACCAAGAAGATATGCTAGATGCATCATTGTGTATGCAAAAAGAAAACCATTGGCATGATTTTCCCAACCCAGTTATCTACTCACATTAAGTGACAAATCGGAGAATATCACTCCATAATCTCTGCTAAACTTGAGGAATGATGCTGATAAACAAAAAGATCCAACGCAGCAACAAAAATAATATGCAAAACATTACTCACGCATCTGAACTGTTTCAATAGCAAGATGGAAATAATTGCAAAAGAATTAAATGATTAAAACAATTCATTAAGAAGAAAGTAAATCTAAAAATATCCTGATATACAAAAAATAAACAATTATATAAAATGTTTATGCTGACTTGGATAAACAATTACCTGCCAACTTTATCAAAGCCAAATCTAGCACCAAAATAAAATGCCACAGCAAGTAACCATGCATCGCTATGGACAGCCACCAATGCTAACCAATCTTTTTCTTGCATTCCGTCCCTAGCAAAGTTAATGCCCAGAGCAGGTTCAGGAATCTCGGGAGGAACCTCCTCTGCAGGCAAATTAACTTCCCATTGTTCATTTGGATGGCCATAAAGGCACAAGTTTTCCTTCTCTGCAATATGTATATATAGTTGAGAACAGCAAGGGAAAACAAACATGAACTGAATAAAAAAAATACTAGATCAGAAAACCATATAGACAAGCAAATCATAGAACCATCATCAATAAGATATATAGCTGATAAAACCATGTTATATCATGATTCTTTAGATACGACAAGCCACTGAAATACACAGCATGGTCCATTAGAATTGAAAGAAAGAAGTTAAAAAGGTACATACGAGGTACCCTAGGGGAAGAGAGAGAGAGAGAGACACGTATGAGGCAAGGAGCTGCTCACAATTCAAAATATTTCATTCCACAATAATCCATAAGCCAAGCTCAGGGGCCCATTTATAATGGAAGGAAACCTAGGGCTAAAGAAAAATAAAATAGCATGAAATAGATAGGAAATAAAGTCTAATATAATAAAAGATGAAGTATATCTAAATATTCCCTAAACATAATTTTTTTTTAAGCAAAAAATATCTAATCAACCATGCCGTCAAATTCAAGCATAAGGTTGGATCAGATTGCCATCAGCAGTTAGCATAGGTTGCAAGGATAAAAAATTGGGCAATTGACGAAGAGTGGTAATCCATGTTGGGAGAAGGTCAAAACTTATAGTTTTAAGGTCCGCTTGGGTAGGCTACAGCTTTTTGTGAAGTTGCTGTAAAGAAAGTAACTTTTTTTAAAGCTGCTATAGAAAACAACTTCCTAATATAAAAATTTCTTGAAAATAGTGAGAAAAAGCAATGGCTAGACAAAAACTATGATTGTGATCCAAAAATCAAAACAATAAAAAGTTGTCTCAAACGAAGCCTTAGAGTTTATAGCTTAGGTTTAGAAATAAGCATGTGGCCTCAAGTAAGAAACCATAAGCAAAAGAAACTAGATGGTGTTCTGAATTGGTGGGAGATGAAATGAGGGGGGAGTTGCCTTGGCTTTTTCTTCTTTCTTTTTTTTTTGGATAGATGGATAAACACCACATGTCATGATTAGACTAACTTCCCCTTAGGGAAACTCCAACCGAAAATCTCAATTTCACTCCAAAATTCAGTGTAACAAAAAAATGGCATGATTCTTCTCCAATCGAACTCCATTTTGCGTCCAGGTAACCGTCTTTCTCCTTCACGCGTATCTTCGGCAAATCCGGTAGAGACAGAAAAATAACGCAGGTGAACAGTACAACGCCAATATTGATGTTGCACTGTTCACCCGCAACCAAATACCGTAAGCTTTGTCATTCTTTTGGAGCTCATAAGCGACGTCATTCATGCGTTTGGAGTTTGGTTGGAGAAGGCCTTAGTCCGTTCATGATTTAAAACAGTGTCATGCAATTATTATATTGTAAGAAAAAATAGTTTTAATAGGGTATGTTCTATATTAAACCAAAAAAAACAGCACTTCGCAAATTGACCAAAACATTGTGTTTTACGACCACTAATTCATCTTTGATTTATCACAACTTCAAACAATAGAGAAAATGTGATGCAATGGAAGAGGCTAGAAAGAAAAACAAGTGTTTGGCTTGAATTCTAGATGTTCTCAGTACCTTTATAGCAAAAATCAAAGCAAAACAATAGTGTTTTACTTAAAATTCTAGATGCCATCAATGCCTATATAAAGTGGTCCAAGGACCTTTCACACACAAAAATAATCAACTTATAATCATCATATGCACTCAAAGCACCTGAAACTCTCAGTTAGGAGCATAAAAAGCTCACTACTCAAGAATAGCTTGTGTTCGGCTTAAGCTTTTCATATTTGGGGTAGTTCTTAAGTAGCTAAGTAAAGAAGGTTACTTTCATCTCTCTTACTAAATGAGAGTATGCTCGATAGCATGTTCTAATATAATCTCTCTTACACAGGCAACAAAATCGAAGAAATATAAAGTGTCAACGCCTTAGAATATGATAATAATTACTTGATTCAGGTACAACTTGTTTCTGAAATTGCAATTGCGTATGACTCGGTTGTTTCCATTGGAGAAGAAAAATTGAGAGCTTTAGGAATAAGGACTTTGAGGGTGTCTTATTTTACTTTTGTAATTTGGTTTGGACATTATCAATTGGAAACTGAATATGAATCATATAGTTATGAACATCATAATTTCTTTAATTTTTTATCAAATTTGGTTTTTTTTATTTATTAAATGTTAAAATATAAAATTCAGGGGCTTCAGTTCCGTCTGATGATAAGGAAAATGCCACGCGTATGACTGTGACAAAGCCAAATATCTTCTAATTACACCAGATATGCCAAAAAAAAAAGAGGAACAAGAGGCCCTCACCCGGGTCGCACTGCTGGAAGAATTCATCCACATCTACATCAAGTAAAAAGACATCGGTCAGAAAACTGAGAAAAGTTTTCCGAAACTACGGAAATGCCCAAATAGGACAAAGGGTCCCCTTCTCCTTCCCCTAGAAGAGGAAAGCCCTAGGAAGAGAAGAGGGGGAAGAGGATTTAGGAAGAGGATAGAGCACCAGTGGTAAGAGCCTTGATAAGCGCGGCGCGCCGTGCCTTATAGTCTCCGAAGACTTCCTCTACCGTCCGTGGGTTGTATTGCGGCGCTCCACCGTCCATTGTTCCGGCTACGGAGAGAGATCCAGAGCTACTTTCGCCACCGGGAGAGACCGCAACAACGATGGAGGGAGAGCAAAGGAATGAACGGTTTGAAAGGAGTGAGAAATTTTCAATTTTGCCAGAAAGAGAGAGAGAGAGAGAGAGGGAGAAAGGAAAGACGTGGGTCGGACTTAGAAATATGACGGTTTAACTGTAATTGAGAGATTTGCAAGTCCGGCCTTTGGAGTCTTGAAGTTTGAACGTTGGGATATATATTTTTTTTATTTTTTTGGGAAAAAAATATTGTGCTCGTAGGACATATTGTCTATAGAACTGTCAATATTTGACCCGATCCGAAAATTCGACCCAAAAATTTTGGGTTCGGATTAGGGATTACGACCCATTTGTAAAATCGGGTCGGGTTCGGATTGACCCGAAAATCCGAAATCAACCCGGTTTGACCCGTTTTTAATTAATTTAGGAGGATTTTAAAGGATTTTTATGAAATAAGTAAATGATATTTAAAAAAAACTATAAACATTATTGCCCAAATTAAATTAATCTTGATTTATTTTAAATTAATTGAAGTAAATCTTACATTAATTATATTTAGATTTAAATATATTGAATTAAATAAAAAAATTTAATAAAATATACCCGAATCGGGTCAGGTTCGGGTTGACCCGGACCCGAAGCGGGTCGGGTTCAGGTTCAGGAAACCGACCCGTTTGAAAAACGATCCGGTTGAACAGTGTCGGGTCAATTTCGGGTTGGACCCAAACCCGACCCGTGACCCGGTTTTGACAGCCCTAATTGTCTATATCTATGCATTTATTAAAATTTATATACTACATAAATAATAAGACTGCTACATAATTTTTTCACTCCATTGGGTTATATTAAAAATCAAATTATCATTTAAATCAATTAAAAATATGTTTAAAAGTTTAAATATATTAAAAAATCAAATTATCATTTAAAATAAAGTATATTATGAAATTCTTTGTTATAAACCTCGTTTATTATTGACAATCATCACCTTTGTCACCTCCAATCAAATGCTACAATCCTTGATCCTCATCGGCTGCATATCATCGCTATCAAGAGTCACTACTAGCCATTGATCATCACCGACTGCTAGCCTTCGCCACACAACCCTCAACAGTTGTTGCCTATCAACCATCAATACACCACTATCATTAGACTTTCATTGCATTCATTGCATTTCAATCCAAAAATAATAATAACAATAACCTAAATATATCTTATACTAATCTAAATAACTCTTTATTGCATCCTGGAATATTCACGACAATAGAAAAATATAAAGTTCAACGTCTTACCTTTGTACGAAGATCTAGCACACAAACAAATGAAAGATAGAGGTATATTGCTCATAAGAGACACCATATTTTTATGTGGAAAGTCCTGAAAGGGGGAAAAATCACGGGGCTTGTCCAGTTTCAATGAATCCACTATTATTTGCAGTTGATTACAAATGAAGCTCTTCCTTAAAGGGAAGGCTAAATGTAGCCAATATATATTATATATATTGTATTCCATGATGAGAGTTTGAAGAATTATTGTTGACATATTTGTTTGGTTGGTAGGATCATAATCGGCGAGATATATAGGTCAGAAGGACAGTAGTCGGACGACGGTGGTCGAAATGGTCGTAGTCGGCAGGCGGTAGAGGTCGCAAAAGACCGTAGTCTGGTGACAACGGTCGGGGAGACTATAATATGGAGATGGTAGTCGAAGAGATCATAGTTGGCTGGTGACAGAGATCAGAAGGACTGTAGTCGGCGAGCGACGGAGGTGGGAGAGAACCGTAATTAGCGGGCGACGATGATGTAACACCTCTAAATATTTGATGATGTATCACCTCTAACTATTTTCAATTTAAAATTACATTGAGATTTGTGTCTGATCATAAAAATTATTTGATAATATATCACTTCTAAATATTTTAAATACACTATATATTTTTTATATTGCATTTTATTATACTATATATTCCTTTTTCAACAAATCAAATATCCCCACAGTAACAAATTAGAGGAGAGAAAAAAAATACAAATATACAGACGATGAAGAGTTTCCACTTAAAAATAAAGCTCTTTCTAATTTTTAAGATTACTCGCTCAAGTTTCTAAGATTTAATAATTATAAAAGAAAGACAATTTTATATTACTTAAAACTTTCAAATTTTAAAAAGCTTGAATCAGATTTTTTTTTCCGAAAACAAAAAAAAAATCGTAAAAAGAGCTAAGGGCTACTAATTCCAAAGATTTTTTCACAAGATTGAACTGTACCCTGAATATAAAACTATTCAATTAAAAAACTTCGTTAGAGTCAAGTGGTCTTCTTCCTTTTTTTTTTTCCTTTCGATGATGACCACACAATCATTCATCTTTCGCAGTAAAACGACAAAAAAACTGCTTTATTTTCAGCCACGCAGCCCATTTTGTTCTCTTAGTTGTTAGAAATTATTAAGTGCAGAGTTAGGATCGGAGCAACGTCTAATTTTTATGAGTGTGTGCAGTTAAAACACACTCATAGAATTCGGACTGTTCTCTGGTCTAAATTCCGCACGTAATAATTTCTACTTGGTTTGGACTTTTAACTATCTACTCAGAAATTTTGACTTCAAATATTATGCATGTGATGCATGTATAAGTTTATCTGAATTGAACTAAGGTTTCGTTTGGGACAGCTTTTTTCTGCTTCCTAACGCAGCTTTTTAATACAAAAATTAAAATTTTTGTACTAAAACTCCGTTTTAAAAAGTGGTAAAAAAACCGTCCCAAACGAAACCTAAATGCAGCAAAAATACTGCTTTATTTGTAGCAGCCCATCTTGTTGTTCTCGCTGACATTTGATGAATGACGATGATGATGAAAGCAAGCTAATAAAAAATTAGTGAAAGTGTGTTTGGTATATGTATTATGAATAATAAATTTTTAATTTTAAAAATATAATATATAAATATTTAAATTTACTCATTTATTCTCTCATATTTTAGAATATTTACTTTAATATTAGTTTTATTACTTTAATCAACTCCATTTACTTATGCTTTTTTATGATATTTATTTTTTATTGAAAAATAATCAATTTTCTATCTAATCTCAATCATCATGGATTATTTATTCTCTGATTGATTTTAATGTATTAAATAACGATAAATATATTTCATTTTTTATGAATAATTAGAATTAAATTACTTTTATATGAATTAATTTAATGTTTATTTAATTTATATAATTGTTGCGGGCTAGAATATACGCGGCGATAGAGTTAAGATCCTAAGTTTTAGCGTTTGCATATATGTCCAGCTCACACATAAAGAACACAAGATTTTTTACCTGGAAAACCCTGTAAATGGGAAAAATCACAAGGTATGGCCCGGTCTGAAATGATTATACTAGTGTTTGGGTAGATTACAATGGGTTGACTCATCCCTAAGGCTGATCAGATTACAAATGTTAATCGTATGGTTGAGATCTGATGACAAACAGGGATAAAAATCTGGCGTCACTTGGTGGTCTAGCGGAAGTCCAGCATTACTTGAAATTTCGGTCGTCTCTTATAAAATGCCCATCCATTGTGGAAGCCTTATTATAAGTAATATCAATTGTAATTTCCCTATTCATGGCCTATTGCAGTGAAAATCTAGCCTTTCCCTTCAAGATAGTCCCAACAAATTCAATTCTATATAGCTTAGCTGATATGAAACAATTGGTCGGCAAAGAACAATTTCATATTCTAAGGGGCTGTTTGGTAGCAAGATTTAGGCCGGATTTGAGCGAAATCTAGTCAAACAGCCTCAAATGCAAAACCAAATCTCACGGCAAACAAAATCTGCTATAGACAGAAAATTCCGCCGATTCGTTCTAAATCCCGAATTTCCAAAATCTTGTATTTTGCTAGATTTACGAAATCCATGACGTTAGAGGAAGAGTCCGCTCAATAAATCTTGCTCTATTGCTAAACAGTAATATGAGATTTAAGGGGATTTATCATGAATGTTACCAAACAATTTTCATGATTTAAGCCCATCAAGATTTTCGAAATCCGGATTTACAAAATCCTACTTAAATCAAATCCGGGGTGCTACCAAACAGCCCCAAAAACGGCAACCAACATGTGTAAAATGCTTGTATGGCTGTGATTCTGACAAACAAGTTCTTCAGTGCTTCCAAGCCATAGCCGAGAAAGTTAATCTTTCTGCTAATTGGAATTTCCTCGCCTACCCATTGAGGCCCTCACCGCAGTGTTTACCTGCTTTTCCCATTTCCGGAATGGCTCAAAACCTGATGGGTTCTTGATGAGCACCTTGAAATAGCCTTGCTTTCTCTACGAGTAAGTTCTGTAAATGGACAACAAAACATTGCGCACTACACCAAAGAATCTCTAAGGAATTAGCACTTCGAAACATAAACAGGTAAATATCTGCACAGGGAATCAAAAAGCTAAGTAGCAATAAACAGGTAAATATCTAAGGTCTGTTCCAGAAGGACAGGGCCGAATAAGGTTTCATTTGAGACGGTTTTCTTACTGCTTCTTAAAGCAGCTTCTAGTACAAAAATTAAAAATTTTATACTAGAAAACTGTTTTAAGAAGCAGCAAGAAAGCAGTCCCAAACAAAGCCTAAATCATGCACCAATTCAACATCTACTCACATGAAAATAAAAAAGGAGCCTGTTTAAAATCACTTTTATTTTTTATTTCAATTAAAGAACAATTAGTTAGTATATATTTCTAATTATTTTTAAAAAAAAATAAAATTACCGAATCAAATGCATAATACTTAGCTTAATTTTAAAGGAGTAAAATATGCTCAAGCAGGAGGCAGCAATGCTATGATATCAATTTTAAAGGAGTTTGGACCTGATATGAAATTTCAAGGAAAAAAAGAAGCCCTTTTGCTGAATATATAATAGCATCTTTCATTGTATTTACGAAAATCATAGCTTTTGTTACAGATAAATCTTGCGACTTAATATCTGCATACTATGGAAGCAGAAAAAGCTAATAGTTTCATCCCATTTGATGGAGTTAGAAGTTGGTTGTCCAGTTAAGGCGACCAAGCTGGGATTGTTGAAATGCCCCAACTTGGGGACCTCCAGCAGCCAAACCTACAGAAGGAGGTACCTGCTGGTGTACAAGGTGGTGGGGAGCAGCAATAGAAGCTGGCTGCGGTTGGTGGTACATGCCAGGGTATTGCAGAGGAGATGGTTGTGCTGTGGCAGCGACGGCATTAAAGGAGGCATGGCCACTGGCGGCGGCGGCGGCGGCATGTGCTGAGACGAAAGCAGGTGGATGAGCTGTGTGTCCTGATAAGTTGTAATATGGCATTGACTGAAGGCTTGGGAGTTCTCGAGGGGTCTGCATCCACATATCAGAGGGCTCAGCCTACAAAAACAGCCACAATATTTAAGATGCATATCAGAATGAGTTTGATAGCTCATTTTCTCAAAGTTGAGCAGCAATAAATTTAATCCAATTTTTTTGGTTTAAATGCTTGAACATAAATATCACTTATTATTGCTAGTTAGATTTAAAAGCAAGTTCAGTTCAATGGAAAGAGCGTTAGATGCCCCAATGGACTTTACTTGACCATTTGCATTTAAAAGAGGATATGCAGACAAAATAGTCTTCGTGAAGTAGTCTCAACTGATCTGTATTCAGCTCTCAAATTTACTGTTCTAAGGATATTATCAGTCAAAAAATCTTTAAAAACTTTCAAAAAAAAAAAAAATTTTTTTTAAGTTTATCATAAAAAATGGAAATTAAAGCTTTAGTTTAGCAAACCACTGGAAGAGCCTATTGGGGCTGTAGCACAGAAAGACGCGAAGGTCTAAAATTAAGATAAATCTTAACTTCTTTGCTAAGGTTGGCTATATCTTCAAGCAAGACGAGGAATATTATTCCACTAATACCACTAAATTAAGTTTAATTTAATTTATCAGCATAGAAGGGGCTTAGTTTTGCATAACGGCAAAAAAATCTCCCAGGTTGACAACAACAAATATGAAAACAAATTATTAAAAACAGCAAAGCAATCAAATGTATGAAATCCTTCTTCTGCAATTAAAAACAAGGAACAATTTATTTGCTTTGACTGTATAAACCTTTCCAGTTATAAATATCATATTACTAAACTTCACACACAAGAGCAATCACGAATAGATCTATAAATTGTTGGAAAGGCAGCGTTAAGTTACCAAAGCTATTTTTAACCTTGGTTGATAGAAGCCAGCTAAAACCATACCTGTTGATTTGGAACATAAAGATTATTGTCCTTGTACTTGATCCTCATCATGTCCTCAAGCCCTGTGGCACCACCAATGGGGCTAGGGGTACCAATTGCAAAGGTGGCCGGACTGGAATAATTCCCATAAGCACTGGGGCTCCCTGCAGGCAAAGGCTTATATTGGGAAGGGGCATACTTCATTCCACCAGTAGGTAAATGTGAACTTCCTCCAGTCATCATAAGGTAGCTATTGCCGGTTGAGGGGTGGGCATAAGCAGGGTTGCTTGAGTAGCTTGGCAAGGCCATAGGAGGGACATACACGGGTGAAAGGATGTGACGATATGGCATGAAATTCGGGTAGTGGGGGATATGAACCTGTGGGTAAATTTGTGTCAATGCCTGCTGTTGTTGCTGCTGCTGCTGAGTAATGGCAGTTGGGGCCAAGGGGTTGCTATTTGCTGAATGTAAATTCAGAATCTGCAGCGAAAAAGAGCATAGAAAATTTGATAAGGCATCTCTAGCTCCTTAATATCCGTTATTCAGAATATCAGAACCAAGCATAACGCTGGTCAAGGATAGAGCATAGGCTTCATTTGGGATGGCTTTTTTATTGCTTCTTAAAGCAGCTTTCTAGTACAAAAATTAAAATTTTTGAGAACTGCTTTAAAAAGCAGAAAGAAAGCCGTCCCAAACAAAGCCTTAGACACATAACGCCAGCTATATCCAGTAAAAGAACATACCTAGGATAGCATGAAATATCAGCAGTAGTGAGTTTTTATGTGCTACTCAATTTTAAATGGAAGTGAAATAATGGAAGCATATTAAAAATACATATATGATTAGCTAACTTAAAGCAATCAGGTAAGATGGACACCAATAAGTGTATTTAAAAAGTAAAATTCCTCAAAGCTCTGAAGTGCTACATTCAGCTCCTACTCAAATAAGATGGATGAAGGAACTCAATGCTAGAAGTGCAGGCGCAATTATGGAAAGCATTTGCTTTAGACATTGACACCACAAACAAACTAAAGTTATGGGTTAGCCATGTTTGAAATAGCACACATACATTAAATTATAGAATACTTAAAAATCGCACAAAAGTTGGAACAAAATGACACCACTACTGAATTCTCATTATCATCATCATCATTAACCTTATCCAAATAAATGAATCGGCTTTACAAAACCTTCTTCTTTATTTATTTTTGCCTTCTATTTTTGTCTAAACATGTCACCTTTATTCTAGCTACCAATTAGCCTTCCAAATCCATTCACATTAATTTATATACCCCTCTTATTGGTGTTTCTTCTACCCATATTGTACATGTCCAAATGAATAAAAGTCTAGTTTCTACTATCTAATTTTCAAATGATGCTACTTATACAATTCCTCAACCCAAGATCAAAGATGCTTAAACATGTCTTGTTAGATTATAACATAATATTTTTAAAACGTTATCTCAATCAACAATTTCAAAGCTATAAAAATAGTACATCATGCATTTAATTTTAATTCAACTAACAGTAAGCCCAACAACTTCTAAACATTTCCTACAACATTCCACATAATTCAAAGGAGGTCTAAAACCAATTGCTCTACCATGCTTGGGTGAAAAGAAGCTGAACCAAAAGCTCCTGGAAAATGGGTGAACATTGGCAAATGCTCCTGTAAAGCTTAACGTTCCAAAAATCTCATGTCAACATAATCCATCAAAGTTTGACTAAACATTTCATGATAGTGAAGGAATAGCAACTTGGGATTCTCAATTAGTAAGCATTTTTCTCTCCAACAAAGCCCGAAGAAACTAGTTGCACTACCTGCTACTCTGTCATGGATGGTCCTCCCTAGCTCCCTTGAGAAACTTCAATGAATCATGGACGACAACAACAACAACATCAAGCCTTTATCCCACTATAAGTGGTCGGATGCATGAATATTTTTTATCCATTGTGTCCTATTAAGAGTCAAATTCTCATTTAAATCTAAAAAAGAAAGGCCATTTCTAATATTTTCTAACCAAGTCTTTTTAGGTCTACCTCTATCTCTGTTAACATAAGTCAAATCCAATACATCTACTTTCCTAACTAGGTCATCAGAATGCTGTGGTTTTATGTGACCAAACCATCTAAGGTGACTCTCTCTAATCTTATCTTCCATTGGAGCTACTCCAAACATTTCACGTATATGCTCATTTCGTATTATGTCTCTAAGAGTAAAGCCACTCATTCACTTGAGCATCCTCATCTTTCCAATACTTAACTTAATATTATGCTACACTTTTAATGTCCAACATTCTTCACCATAAAGCATTGCAGGTCTCACCACCATTTTATAGAATTTTCTCTTAAGTTTGAGGGGGACTTTAATCACACACGAAGCCCGATGCATTCCCCCACTTCAACCATTCAACTTGAATTCTACTAATAATATTTCTATATATTTCACCATCACTCTGAACAACAGACCCATGATATCTAAAATGTGTACTCTTATTAATGACTTGCTCGCCCAAAGTCACAATCCCCCCACTAGATCTATTATTATTAAACTTACACTCCATATATTCAGTTTTAGATCTACTCAAACGAAGCCTTTAGTGATGTAATATGATGCAAATCCAGGGATCAAATCTTATGAAATTAATAGAAGTTATGTAAAATAATGAACGTACATTCTCTAGCTTTGTGAAATTGACATTCAAGTTTACCTTCAACTCCCTATCTAGTCTTATCAAGAAGAATATCATCAGCAAAAAGCATACACCAGGGTACAACCTCTTGCAAATGTCTAGTGACAACATCCATGACCAAAGCAAGAAGATATGGGCTTAAGGCTGATCCTTGATGTAATCCAATAGAAATAAAAAAATACTTGGTCAAACCACCTCGTGTCATAAGCAAAACCTTTGATATCAAGCATGGAACCTGGTCATATATACATATCAATACGCCTTGTGAGAAAAATATCATAAGTTTCCAGACAAGAATACTTGTGAGTTGGAAATAGTCTTTTTTTTTTTTTTAACTAACATGCCCTTTTTCATGAGCCCAAGAAAATAGAAAATGCATAATAAAAAATGAATGAATCAGAATGATCTGAATGTTCCTGATAGAAAGGATACCTCAGGTTGAGAGGCTAAGCTTTGCCCACGAATATTATCGTCCATGCTTGTTTGAAAAAAAGGAGTAACATAACTCGTTTCAGTATCATATGGCTGCTTTAAACAAGAAAAAAGGCATATTAGTGAGACCAGCAAATCCACTTTGAAAGGGTTAAAATTAAAGTTAATGAAAGTTAAATATAACATTTAAAATCATATAAAAGCAGAATAATACTATATTTGTTTTATTAAACTCTGACGAGTACAATTAGTGTTTTTACACTCAAAGGAGATAATGTAGATTTTTTCAGCTACTACGTCAGAAGAATAGATGTACTCACTAAAAAACTTGGCATGGTTGGGGTTTCCTGTATTCTTTGTGATTGTTGAGAATTGAATGGAGGGCTATGACTTTGGACCAACCCAATATCTGCGTAACTCTCGATGCTTTGAGAGTTCAACGGTTGATTGTTTCCAGAAGGAGGCCGCTCTAATTCTTCAGCTGAAGCAGAGGAGGTAGACCTGGAAGTCCCTGCTTGACAATCAACCAAATGTCCAACTTCAACAGAAGTTCCGTTATTAGGTCCAACTGGAACAAATGCTGAATTACTGATAGAAGATAACCTAAGGTTAGCATATTAGCCAATGCATCCATACGCCATTTAAATGAAGACAAAATGCAGTTTACTCACATAAAGAAGAAAGAAACTTAAAAGGTTCTACAATGAAGAAATATATGCATATTTATACCATTAATAAGTTATTTGAAACTCTATCAATAATATTATCCAACCATCCATTCTTTCTATAGTAATAACCGCTCCATTACTATTAAATAGCCCTTCGAATTCCACATTACTTCAATATGCAACACAGACTAAGTAACCTCATTTTATCAACCGGCCTTCTTCCTTTGGTGACAGCAGGAGTTCTGCGTCCTCTCTTTATTTGCTATCATTGGCTGCATTCCTAGCATCATCAAGGATGCATGAATAATCACTTCAGTAGAACCGCCTAAATACCACAGTTGCAACTACAGTTAGATCATCAATTCCTAGACCCACATAATTGTTTTAAGGATTTTTTAGAATGACCAGGCATTCGATTTTGAGAACGGTCTGAGACAGTGACATGGGAAAGACATGATATGTATATTTTTTATTATTAATCTTCTTTTATAAAACTAAAACAAATGAAAGTAATAGGAGTAATCGAATCTCGAATTCTTATTGTTTGTGCGTCTCATCACTTCCCAAGTAATTAATCTTTTTAAAGTCTTCTCATGCAACAACCAAAGCAAAATGGGGGTTTATTTAAATTATTTGTGGCATCTCAAACACACTGGCGCAATTCATTTCACAAACAAACACAATTTGGGTGACTTCAATTTTTGGTACATGCATTTTGAACTAAAGAATTTTACATCCATGTAGGTGTAATACTTTTTATTATGGGAAAAATAATACTTTATTATTGTCCACGTTAATGAGGAGAGTAGCCAATAAAAATATATTTTTTTGCTTTTGATCCCAATTTTTTTCTCTAATGAGGCGCAATATGCACAAAGACAGAGCAACCAATCACTTTGAGAGGAATAGTGGAGATAAGTCTACTTTTGGGATAGGCTTGGCTCAGAGTTTGAATAGGATTTTTGAATTTTAGAATTCGTGATGGCATACTAATAATGAAAATGTAGCAGTAAGAAAAACCTCCCCTCAATAATGTTCTAATACATTACCGGAGATCATAATTAATCAAGCAAACTCTATGAGATGTTTATTTTTTCTTTCTTTTATTGAATATGGATCTAAGAACCTAAGAAAATAATTCCTAGTTGGAGATATACTGATATTAACCAAGAAAGGAAAGTAAATATTCTTTTATATTGTCAGTCTATAAAATTTAATTTTAATTTTGAATTGAGTTTATATAAATGAAAAAAAAACGAAATAATAATTGGTTTCTTTTCTTTTTTTCATTAGAAAGACCTATGTGGTTCTGATGTAGAACGAAATCTGAAGTTTTCAGATTTGCTCTCGCCTCTAAGAAATCAGAAAAAATCAATTCCAGCTTCAGTACTGGGAAGGAAAATCATAGAGGGGATTTAGTCTTTAGTCCAGCAAGTCTTGACCGTGAGAGAGAGGAGCATGGAGAAAGAAATAAGCAGGCATAAGAGGGAGGCGGCTGTATTAGGTGAGTTAGGGAAAAAGAATGTACTTCCTATTCCCAATTCCAGATTTAGGAAATAAAACCAGAGATCGGATTTAGGGAATTTCGGGTAGGGGCCAGGATAGAGATTTAAAATTATTTCCCAAAGCAATAGTGGAGAATTAGGAAATAAATTTTAATCAAAGACAATAAATAGAGGAAGAGGCCGGCAGCATCCAAAGGGAAAGATGGGTCTAGAGCAATCAATTGGGTTACCTAATTTGGGTTTTGGGATTTAGGAAAGAATTATTTAGATCCATTTGAATTTAAAATTCAAATAGAACTCATTTACAACTTTCCAAAAATAGAACGACAAATTAGGAAAAATTTCAAATTTCAAATTAGTTGGATTTGAATTTTGAAAACCACCCAAAATTAAATTACCCAAATTAAGCAAGGAATTAATGGGGATGAGGAGGTGGATGGGGAACCGGCGGTTAGAGGGTTGGCCGGCGGTATGGGAGCTTGGGTGGGATGTTGGTCCCGAGAGGTTGAGGGAGTAGGAAGAATATGAAAACGACGACGGGGAGATATAAGAAGGAAGAAATCAAAACAAAACAAAGATAAAACGAAAGATAGAAGACAAGAACCGCGAGCCTCGGACTCTTCAGAAGACTGACGGGTGATCCGATTGCCCTTCTACAAGGGACTTCAAATCACGAGCCCGGACCCATCCTGCGGCTGGTGACAACTGCGATTTCTTCCCATAGGAATCTCACTCTCATTCTCTCCCAAGTACACAAGTGTGGAACACCAAATTTTCATATCCATTAACCATCCTCTTACAATAACTTAAGGCCCTAATTTATAGGCCCCAATATGAGAAAAAAAATCGAAATTACAAAATTGCCCCTGGGCCACAACACTCAAATAAACTATCCTAGGGGTAAAACAGGAAATACATTAATTTAGAACTAAAATTCAGAAAAATAAATCATAATTGAAGGTTTAAATGATAGCCATCGATTTACGACGCCTCCTGTGAAAGATGCGTCAAATCTTCGTACCGATGTCCGCACCATTTATAGGCCCCAATATGAGAAAAAAATTGAAATTACAAAATTGTCCCTTGGGCCACAACACTCAAATAAACTATCCTAGGGGTAAAACAGGAAATACATTAATTTAGAACTAAAATTCAGAAAGATAAATCATAATTGAAGGTTTAAATGATAGCCGTCGATTTACGACGCCTCCTGTGATAGATGCGCCAAATCTTCGTACCGATGTCCGCATCATGTTCTAATATGGTCTTCAACGATGGATATAAACCTCCAATCACTCAAGATATCCTCAAATATTAGTATGGATGATTTCAAATGGTTGGGAGACTTTATAAAAATGACAATTGACAGATTTCACATAGAGACACTTCAGAATTTTGTAGACAAGAAGAGAAGGGAACAATTTTTTGAGATACATGAAACATGGATGATTAAGATGAAAAAGCCTCAATATTATTGTACATTTTTTAAAGACAAATACATACTAAGCATATTTCTCTTGCCTTTCAAGATTCCCTTCCCCATTCATGAAGTAGAAACCAACATTTTCCTTGACATTTTCAAATACTCTTCCCGAGACACTATCATGAAATTCATAATGAGTAAGAAGAAATTTAATATTACAATTCATATTTTTGAAACTTTTGCTTATTGATAAAAGTTGTAATAAAGCTTAGGAACAAGGAAACAAAGCTAAGAACCGGTAAATCAGTGCCAATAGTAATTAGTTATGGTGATGGCTCATTTGTAATTTTGATTGTACAGTTCTTTTAGTATAGATGAAGAGTTTGCATTAAGAAAGCATTCCATGTCATATAATTAGAGGCGCCAGATTTTCTAAAGGCATCCAAGTCCATACTTTTTTGAGCAACCGCTTCAATGTTGATCTCTGGCAATGAGAGTTTTGGTTTGAGCCAAATAATTAGTGGCATGGAGAAAGCTTCTTGCCTAGCATAGTTGTCATGGGATCTTGATTCATGGAAGGAGGTACTAGAGGAGTTTTTTTTAAGACCATTTTGTCTTTAATCATCATCATATTAGACAAAAACCTTTAGATGAATTATAAGAAAGAAGTAGAAATTTGAGAGGAACTGAGATAGAAGTTAAACAAGGATCTCTATTACCATGATAAATATATATATATATATATATATATAAGAGAAGAATACTGCATTTTCTTATTCCAATAGATAGAAAAGGTACAACGTTTACAACCTATGTTATGAGTCTAGTATAGAAGAAAGATAATGATGTGAAACTAGGAATTGTTTTTTTAGAAATTAATAAAATTTGTTGGAGCAATGATAAAAATAAATTCAAAGCTTCTCAAAGTTGAAAACTCAAGAAAGATCTAAGAAGTCCAAAATGCATTAGGCAATCTATTACTACTAAATTTGTAAGTTCCTTAAAATAACAATTTAAGCAAACGTAATGAAATGATTAGCCAACTAGAATCCGCCGGTTAACAAAGTAATCGTCTCACCTTGAGGCTCAAATTCACTCTTCTACTTCTAGGATTGTCGGAGGAAGAAGAACCATACGAGAAACGAGATCACTCCAAGGTAGACGGCGCAGATGATCCATAGTGATGGCGAGGGAAGCGGCGGCGGTGAAGGTGGGGAAGCGGGTGGATGTTCGTTAATGGTCTAGTCGTAGTCTTGGAATTGGTCGTCTATGACGTCCACGAGAGTGGGAAGGATGAGGTTCAAATAATCTTCAACCGTGTCGTCGGAGCCAAATCCGACGTCGAAGAACGATGAACGGGTGAGGTGAATGTCTCCGTAGATGTCGAAAACCAATCCGCTCTCAAGCTCGGGATCCGCCATGCATCCTTGCCGGAAGGGAAGAAACACAAAGAGGGGAATAGGGAGGAAGGAGGTGGCGGGTTGGAGGAGGAAGGTTGGATTGGCTTGGGTACTTGAGAGGATTGACTAGAGAAAGACTCCAAGAATTAAAACTGAAAAAATTCTGAAATTATTTCAGTTTTATTTGGGTGGGAGGGAATAAATTTGAAGGTTTCAAATTAATTCCATGAAGGATTGAGGGGGGGGTGGCAACATGGAGAAGTTTGGGGCTGATTTAGTAGAGCTAATAATGTAATTTGGGGAGAGAGAGGGCCCATTAAGGGGGCCGGCCACATAAATAGGAGAGAGGGGCTTGAGTTTTAATTAAGTAGGGACCACAATCTTAATCACAGATTTAACAAAAAATATGAAATAAAATTTCAGTTTTCTTAAGAGGAGAAAACTTCCTTATATGAAGACAATCAATTGGATCAATTTGAATTTCAAAATTGAAATTGAAATTCAATTAAATTGATTGCATAAATTAGGGAGTTAAATTAGGAACATGGTTTAAAATTGCACAATATGAGGCTCGCCTTGAGGCCCACCTTTGCGCAATTCCAGTATAAAACGCCTCGATGCTTACGCTCGAGTTTTTTTTATGAGGCTTGCGCCTCAACTTGGTTGAGGCCCGCCTTGAGGCCTACCTCGCCTCACTGGCATGAGGCTTACGCCTCAAGCTATATATATTAAAACTTACATAAATCTTGAAGTATTATTGGTCCCGAGTTCAGTTTGATCTTCTATATGGATGAGGAGGAAGGGAGAGAGTGTAGTTCTTCTATAATTGAGTGATCAAATGAATGGAAACCCCTTAGTGATGACAGTGTTGATTTTGACTTATGGATTCTTATGTGATATTGTATTGCTATTATTTTTGTAATTGGATATTATATGTTTATTTGTAAAAAGTAACTTGGATTTTGGGAAAGATAGAATTTGAGTTGAACTATTATTTAATGTTTGTCTTATTTATGGGATATATTTTTGATTTCACTTCATATCATATAGTGTTTTTTTATGTTTTATATTATTCAATCAGTTTAGTATAATAAATTTGTCATTTTAATGTTTACGCAATCTTGTTTTTAAGGCTACGCCTGGCCTCACGAATGAAAAACGTCTTAATACCCGATGAACGAAATTTTTTAAACATTGATTAGGAAACCTTTAATGGCTCATGAAATCTGAAATTGTCAAATTTGAAACTCAAAAGGGGTGCGGCCGGCGGCTAGAGGAAGGGGCAAGGGGCCGGGCAAGGCGTGGGGTTGGCCGTCGTCGGCGGAGGCGGCAGCCAGGTGGCCGGCGGCCTGGGAGGTTTAGGGAGAGGCGGCGCAAGGGCAAGGGGAGGGAGAAAGGGAATTTTCTAGGGATTCGAGCGGCTACGAATTCACTCACCTCAATTATCTTCAAGTCCGGAAGTCCACAATAATTAGCTTGGATAAAAACTAGAACTCACAAAGAGATCTATTTTCTCCGACGAACTCACTAAGAGATCTAGGAGGAATGAACTCAGAAAAGAGAGACAAAAAGAAGCAATTTTTCATTGCATCAAAACTAAACTCAAATACCATGATTATGCCTAATTATTATGGCCATTGCGAAAATAAAACGATAAAGAGCGACATTCGCCCTTGCGGTGCTACAATAAGCACTAACTCCCTCATAGGGGTACAAATGGAAAAACATGAAATATAAATGACATGAATAAAATAAAACATCAAAAATAAAGACTATGAATCATGGCTGTCGCTCGACGACCCCTTTGATGGTAAGTGTGCCGAAATCTCCTATGGATGTCCTCATCAGATAAAGAATAAAATCAGGCCATAACTAGACCGATAAAATAACAACATCAAGCCTTTATCCCGATTGGGTTAGCTACATGAATCTATTTTCTCTATTGTGTCATGTTAAGAGTCAATTTCTCATTTAAATCTAAGCAAAAAAATATTAGTTTTAATATTTTCTAACCAAGTCTTTTTAGGTTTATCTCTACCTCTCTCAACATAAGCCAAATCTAATACATCTACTCTCCTAACCGGGTCATCGAAGGCCAACGTTTTATGTGACCAAACCATCTGAGGTGACTCTCGCTAATCTTTTCTGCCATTGGAGCATTTCCACACTTCATTTTCTTTAAAGCCTCTCTAACTTCGGTTTTACTAATATATCGATAAAAAGAAAAATCTCTATTTTCATTTAAGGTGCTAATGTCACTAAATTTAATCGTATTCTCACAATCTTCATTGAATAGAGTATCAAAAATATTTCATCCGATTTTGTTGAATATCCTCTTTTAATAAAAGCATTTTCTGATCTCCATCCTTAATGCACTTAACTTGAACTAAATCCTTACTTCTCCTATCTTTTTGTATGGCTAACTTATACATATATATATTTCTACCTCCTTAGTATCTAATCTATTATATAAATCATTAAAATCTAAATTCTTTACATCACATTGCTTCCTTAGACTCCTTACGGGTCTCTTTATATTTTTCCCAATATTCCGAGTTTTTACATCTAAACCAATTTTTATAACAAAGTTTCTTACTTTTTATCTTTTCTTGCACATTTTGATTTAACCACCAACTATTTTTACTATTACGAGCTTTTCCTTTTGATACTCCAAGTACATTCTTTGAAACATTCTTAATATCATTAACTACTTTTTCCACATAACATGAACTTCCTCATGTAAAGTCATAATCTTAAGATATTGAATCTTATTCTCAAAAATATTTTTGTTAGTGTTATTTAAAAAGGAAAAAAAGAAAATTAAAAATGGAATTAGTGGATAGCAGATGGAAAGGCTTGTGGAGATGCAGGCGACAGATGGCGAGCAAGCTGGCTGCATGTGGGTAGCGGCCTCATGTGGATTGGCGGAAACTTTGATCAGTGAGCTACGGCCTTGCATGAGTTGGCAGTAGGTGGGCTGCCATATTTGATTGCAAGGGCTGTAGTTGATGTGCATTGATTGCAGGAGCTGGAATTGAGGAGGGCTGATTTCAAAATTTCCACATTTTATAGAAAAATGCTCAAAGACTAAAAATATGAATGCTCTAATGAATTTACATCAAGAGCAAAGACAAAAAGATGATGTCTTACAAATCTCATACATTTTTAAGGAGGGTAAAACTTAGACTTCATGAAGTGAATACATGTGTTGAATACTAATAAGACAGTTCCCAACAAACAAATCGTATGAAAATGCTATACATTACTCATCCAAGCTAAATAAAATGGAAACTGAAATAGAATATCAACAGTTGCAGAACAGAAAAAAAAATGCCATGCAATTATACAACATAATGAATAAAAATAGACAAGTGAAATTAGAAAATTTACAAAAGTGAATAATGGTGAAATGGCGATAACCTGACAGAAGTTGTCACTTCTGGCTGTTCGACACTTCCAATTGTTTGTTGAGTAGACAGGAAGCCTGGGCTAGAAACAGGTCCTTCCCCAAAACTACCAAACGTGAACTTTGTGCATTCAGCCTCTGGCACTCTAAGATGTTGAGGAATGATAACATGCTGTTCTCCACGAATATTGACATTTGAAAGCTTATCTGTCAGATCAATAGCATTCACCAGGCTTGAGCTAAAGGCATTGTCAGTGGAAGATTCAAGGACAGAAAATGTTTCAAGTGTGCTAGAGCTATCATTTTTCAGCTTTTGGCTTTTAGGCTTCCACTCCATGTTGGGCTGCGAGGCTGGATGATAATAGAATAAATGCATTATAAGCATATTCCTGATTTATAATAATAAAAAATTACCTAACTTATGAAAGTGAGCTAATAATAAAGTTAGATGTCAAGGCAATAAAATTAATTAATTGGGAGAAACATTATCTAAACTTTTTTTTCTTTTATAGTAAATTGGCAGTATGAATTATCATGCTTCACAGATTGAAAACATACATACAAGAAAGGTAAAAATGTTCAAATATAAAAGTCATACAAAAACAATAAAATTCACAACATTTTAAGACTAAATTGTTTACAACATCAACAACATCAAGCCTTTATCCCACTATGGGGGTCGGCAACATGAATCATTTTTCTCTATTATGTCATATTAAGAGTTGAATTCTTATTCAAATCTAAAAATCAAAGGTCATTTCTAATACTTTCTAACCAAGTCTTTATAGGTCAACCTCTACCTCTCTTAACATAAGACAAATCTAATACATCTACTCTCCTAACCGGGTTATCGGAAGGCCAATCTCTCCAATCTTAACTGGAGCTACTCCAACCTTATCACATACATACTTGTTTCGCATTCAGTCTCTAAGAGTAAAGCCACTCATCCATCTAAGCATCCTCGTCTCTACAACACTTAAACTTAATTTTATTCTTCTCTTTTAATGGCCAACATTCTGCATCATAAAGCATTGCAAGTCTCACCACCATCTTATAAAATTTTCACTTAAGTTTGAAGGGTACTTTTCTATCATACAACAGACTTGATGCATTCCTCCACTTCAACCATCCAACTTGAATTCTACTAATAATATCCCATCTATTTCACAATCAATTTGAACAATAGACCCAAGATATCTAAAACGTATACTCTTTTTAATGACTTGATCGCCTAACATCACAATCCCTCCACTAGATCTATTACTACTAAAATTACACTCAATGTATTCAGTTTTAGATCTACTCAAACAAAAACCTTTAAGACTCTAAGGTTGACCTCCATAATTCAATTTTTCCTTCAACTCCCTCTATAGACTTATCAAAAAGAAGAAGATCATCAGCAAAAAGCATACACCAGGGTATATCCTCTTGCAAATGTCTAGTAAGAACATTCATTACCAAAACAAAAAGAGAAGGGATTAATACATATGTAATCCAACTGAAATAGGAAAATACTTGGTCAAATCACCTTGTGTTTGAACACAAGTAACAACACATGCATATATATCCTTAATGACCTGAATATAAGCATTATTAACTACTTTTTTTCTTAGAACTTTCCAAAGAACTTCTCTTGCAACTTTATCATATGCTCCTTGTAAATCAATAAATATCATATGAAGATGCTCCTTATTCTCTGTATACTTCTCCATTAAACTTCTCAATAAATATCTAGCTTCCATAGTAGATCTACCCGGCATGAATCCAAATTGATTTCGAGAAACATTAATATAATGTTGTAACCTATACTCAGTAACTCTCTCCCATAGTTTTAATGTATGACACATTAATTTAATTCCTCTATAATTCACACACTCTTGTGCATCACCTTTATTCTTAAAAATAGAAATCAACATACTCTTTCTCCATTCATCTGACATCTTCTTAGTCTTCCAAATGATATTAAAAAGCATCATAAGCAAAAAAAAATCCTTCATTAAACATTTTCACAACTTTATTGGAATATCATCAGGTCTAATAGCTTTTTCCACACTTCATTTTCTTTAAAGTCTCTCTAACTTGAGTTTTACTAATATGATGATAAATACAAAAATCTCTATTTTCATTTAGGGTACTAAAGTCACTAAATGTATTCTCACAATCTTCATTGGAAAGCTTATCCAAATATCTCCTCCATCTATGTTGAATATTCTCTTCAAATAAAAATATTTTTTTATCTTCATCCTTAATGCACTTCACTTGAACTAAATCCTTACTTCTCCTATCTCTTTGCTTGGATAACTTGAACAAAATCAATCTAAATTTTACTATTCATTTTTATAAGTGATGAGATGCTCATCTCTTTTCTTAAATAAGATATTAGCAATTACAATATCATAAGCTAGAGCAAAATCTAATTGGTCCTACCACCATCATTAGTCATTTCAAATCCATAACCACCATGAATATTTTTAAAATCTTCTACCACTTTACCAACTTGTTCATTTAAATCTCCTCCAATAAAAAATTTTTCTTCTAATCGTATCCTTTGTATTAATTATTCCAAGCCATTCCAAATTTTAATTTTGAGCACATTAAAAACTAATTGCATAGCATAAGCACTATAATATTAATAATCTTAGCATCAATAATAATTTTTAAAACTATAATTATATCTCCAATTCTATTAATTTCTATAACATTATCTTTCAAACTATTATCCCTAATCACAACTACGTTATTTCTAGTACGACTCCTACAGGAATATCATAGTTTAAATCCTAAACTATCATAGAATATTATCTTCCTATTAATCATAATATCTATTAATTTAATTAATTTGTCTGTAATAGAACCTATATTCAATACTTATCAATGGCACAAAATGGTGGGCGCACCTACAACGCCAGCTACATGGCGTGGGGCACATGTTCAAGTTAGCGCGCACCATTTGCGATATGTGTGTGGAATGGCACATAGCGCGCGCAATTTGAATTTTAGGAATTGTTTTTGATAAAATTATAAATAGTTTTTAATATTTATATAATTAATTTGTAAAATAATATAATAATTAATTTTAAAATTATTTGATATGATTAAAATAGTTTAGTTATGTTTCATCAGACTTTATTTTAGTAGAAATTTTTGGACGAAATTAAAGCTCACTTTAATGGTTTGGACTTTGGACCACAAACATATTCAACCAAGCCTTACCCAACTTGATTGATACTCTAAAATATGATCTATATAATAATTTTTTTTTTTTGTGTTATGTTCAAAATGACACACACCTCGCTGTGCACTATGCGTCATGGCTCAACGAGGAACTTTGCGCAGTGGTGCGCCATTCACCATTGATAAGTATCTTATATTCCAAGTTTTTATCTTACTACTAGCTTCATAGATTAACTTCTTTGCCCACATTTTTCCATGATGTGGGAACCCTAATTTCTTTAATATTGCACCTGTATGCTGGTGCAGCGGCCCTTGCACACTTCTCGCTCTATTCAGGCTGTACAAGACGTTGCTTTCAGGGAATGCACTGGCATTAACACATTATATTAAATGATTAATGTTATGATAAATGGGCAAGTTTTATGCTACTTGTTGACTACCTAACACAACCCTCAATTTTTTCTCATCCAGGCCTTAGGACCTTGCAACAACAATATTTAAAATCTAACTTAGATGGGTAACAAAAAACTGCGAGAGCAAACCGGCACATGTATCTAAGAAAAAGATTATTTCAGTTATCATAACTTAAATTTAAATAAATTATAATTTTCATATTAAAATTATCACTTAATTATTGCATTTTTATTAGACCTAAATAAATTTTAACTAAAATTAAAATTAAGATTACTACAATAATTATGGTTAAATTTTAAATGATTATATATATAGATAGAGAAAAAAAATCCCCAAATAGTCCCTAGACTAGTGTGTGGCCAATTTATTCCAGAGTGTCATGCTACTCCAATTTAGTCCCACGGCTACACAAAATTAATCCAATTTAGTCCCAAGTGGACTTTTTTGAATCAATTTTGTATAGTTGAAGAACTAAATTGGAGCAGCGTAATACTGTTGGACTAAATTAGAGCAATCCGATACTCTTAGACTAAATTAACCATATTTGAATAGTCGAGGAATGATTAATAGTTGCTAGTCATCAATGAAACACCTTGTACACATAACCCCCACTCCCCACTCCAGTCTGAAACTCTCCCTTCTCCTTGCCTAATCATGAAATACCTCCTAGCATCAACCCAACCCACCCAGCAGAACCTTCTTTGCACTCCAACTCTCTCTCACCGATCCTTGTACACACAACCCTCCTCTGCCCTGTCAACCACCACTACCCTAGCTTTTGCCACCACCTCGATGTCAGCACCCACCACCTCACTCCCTCCTTCCTCTTCACTCCCTAAATAAGAGATATTTCTCTCTCTCTCTCTCTCTCTCTCTCTCTCTCTCTATATATATATATATATATATATATATATATAAGCAAAAGAAAAGAGGAAAAAACTGTGCATATTGTTCCAACAAGGTGGTGAAATTTACAAAATAAATACCCCTGCAAGTTGCTTCGATGTGGCAGTGAAATTGTCTTTTTTGCTTAGCTTATGCGCACTTTTTTAAGTATGGAGGGATAAAAGGCTCCCTAGCCACAGTTTTGCATTACATTGAACATGGCATACTTTTTAAACATGGTGAGAAAGCTTAGCAACCCCAACAACGTCCCTTAAATAGGGGAGATTCCAAAAGGATGCCTAATTTATTAGCAAACAAACTTGGAAAAGAAAAAAAAAATAAAACAGAAGGATTTTTTTTACGCATAAACATGTAAAAATAAAAGAAATAAAAAGCAATGTAAGAATGAACATAAACAAAGAAACTAAACAGAAAAAAGACTTACAAGGGACTTGCAATGAACACAATAATGCACCTATGGGAGTGAATGGAGGCCCCTCACAATTTCTAGAACTCTCCAAAATGAAAGAACTCTCAAAACGTTGTGAACTAAAATATGAAAAATGAGTAAGACAATACCCTTCCTATTTATGGGAAAGAGAATGATTCCTTGTGGGGGCACCTAACTAAAATACAAACATAGCATGATGAAATTGTAATATATCATAAGAATTCCTATTCACATTTGATGCTACTGAATCTGCAACAAACAGATGCAACACAAGTGACATAAGGCGTACCTTAAAATCTTAAAATAAGATTTTACGTGTATTTTATTGGTAAATGCTCGTGCATACAACCAAAATTTAGACATGTTCAAATCCTATGCACATCAAAACATAATAATTTAATTCAAGTGTGATGTATCGAGGAGTGTG